TTTATGTATATATAATTTTAATCATGTATCTTTAAGTTCCCCTCCTTCACAAAGAAAAAGCCCAAAACGACAGAGTGTTGCACTAATCAATTAAAAAAGCATGCGTAGAACAGTAGGTAATTAAAAGTATTCACACAGCACAAAAGTTCTATATTATCTTCCATTTCCCTTGTTTTACATGAACGTCCGGGGCTTGTACGAGTTTGTCTAAGAATTGTTTTGTTTCCCAATTTAAAACGTGGGCTGGGTTGGTTTTTTTTTTTATTTAACAGGGCTTTCTTTTTAACCGAACTAATACTATATTTTGGTAAACAGCTTTTCACAACGCGACAAGAAAATATCCCTCTCATAACTGATTGTAAACAAGCTGGAGTGCAATAATTATCAGGTTTATAAGACCAAACTATTTATCAACCAAGTTGTTAAAATGAGAGCCGTTAGCTCAGTTGGCATTGTTCTGAACTACGGAGCGGGTGGCCCTGGTTTAAATCGTCAATGGGGCGTTCTCAACTTGGGTTGTTTTGAAGTGGCCTTTATCCTTTACAATGGCTAAGTTGTTGAAGCTCAGAAAGTGGCCCTGGTTTACGCCTGTCTATTTTGTAGAGTGGGGGTTTTTTGTATCTGATATCTTTAATTCTTTAAGCTCAACTCCAAGTCCAGGATAGTGGTCAGTCAACAAACGAAACAGCATGCAATGAGCGTAATAAATCCAAGCAGTTCTAATTATGTTTGTTCGTACAAACTACTCCAACATACAGATTTTGATAACGATGAACAGCATAATAACCTAGAAGCATTCTGAATCAGCCCAGAAGTCTTTGGACACAAATTTCTCAAATATCTGAAAACAAAACAACTAACATAATTTAAAGTAACGTAGCCAAATGAATCGTACGTGACAAATACCAAAATTCCAGGCAGCCGAAAGAATCATAATAGCTAAAACAAAGATTTTAACTGTCTTTGCGCTAGTAGCTCATGAAAATAACGTTCTCGGCTAAAGAGTACGAAGAACACCAAATAGTATGCTCTCTATGACAGAATATCTGTAATACTATACCAAATAACAAAATATAATACACGTGAATCCTTCCGCTACGAAAGTCAGAAGTATTTGAGCAGGAAAGCAATCTCTAGAAACCACTGAACATCGCGGAGGAAGAAGTTGTTATTTATAATGACGAGAAGCAGAAAAGTCTACAACCTCATGTCCTCATGTGAGAGACATCAGTTTATTGATTCCCCTCGCCTCGATGGACTGCTGCAATAATATCGATTGCCATATTATGTAGCCCCGCCTAGTTTGAATTCTCGTTAATTAAATTAAACGACAATGTATTCAAAGTTAGAGCTTAAACTTAAATGGGAACTTAA